TTCATAAAAAGGGCGAGAAAGCCCAGAGAGCATTAGAGAAATCATGGCTGGGCTTTGATCAGCATCTTAGTTAAGATTTCTATAGCCATGAAGAGACACCATGTCCACAGAAAATCTTATAAAAGAAAATATTTCATTGTGGTATCTTGCTTACACTTCAGAGTGTTGGTCCATTGTCATCATGGTAGGAAGCAAGGCAGCACACAGATGGACATGGTGCTAGAGAAGGAGCTGAAAGTTCCTGCATCTTGACTCACAACAGGAAGTGGACTGTCTCACTGGGTGTAGATGAGCATTTATGAGTCCTCAAATCTCACCTCCACAGTGACAACTTTCCTCCATCAAGTACACACCTACTCCAACAAGGCCACACCTTCCAATAATGCCACTAGGTTTGGGGGCTATTTTCTTTCAAACCACTACAGCCAGTATCTGAAAGAAGAAGGGATAGAAAGAAAAGAAAACTTTACTTTTTTACTGAGTCACTCAGAAAAGTGAGCAGGCTCTGTTACACTATGCAATAGAAGCACTAACAGCAGCTACATGGGAGATGAGTTTCTTAGAAAGAGAAGAATATTGTATCATTAAGGGGCTAATTGTTTCTCCCATTGCCTACAATCTCATGGAAACTGAATAATGCTCAACTGAATCACCAATGGGTCAAGGAAGAAATAAAGAAAGAAATTAAAGACTTCTTAGAGATCAATGAAAATGAATATAACACATAACCAAACTTATGGGAGGCTATGAAAGCAGTGTTAAGAGAAAATTCATAGCACTAAAAGCCCATATAAAGAAGTTGGAGAAATCTCACACTAGTGACTTAACAGCACACCTGAAAGGCCTAGAACAAGAAGAAGCAAAGTCACCCATGAGGAATAGACACCAGGAAATTTTCAAATGGAGAGCTGAAAACCATAACCAGAAACAAAGAGAACAATACAAAGAATCAATGAAACAAAGAGTTGGTTCTTTGAGAAAATCAACAAGATAGACAAGCCCTTTTCCAAACAAACCAAAAGGGAGAGAGAGAGAGAGAGAGAGAGAGAGAGAGAGAGAGAGAGAGAGAGAGAATCCAGATTAGCAAAATCAGAAATGAAAATAGAGACATAAAAACTAATACTGAGGAAATCCAGAGAACCATCAGGTCATACTTCAAAATCCTGTACTCAACAAAACTGGAAAATCTAAAAGAAATGGATAATTTTCTGGATAGGTACCACATACCTAAGTTAAATCAAGATCAGATAAACTATTAAATAGGCCAATAACCCCTAAGGAAATAGAATCAGTCATTAAAAGTCTCCCAACCAAAAAAAGCCTAGGACCAAATGGTTTCAGTGCAGAATTCTATCAGATCTTCAAACAAGAGATAATACCAATACTCTTTAAATTGTTCCACACAATAGAAACAGAAGGAACATTACCAAACTCCTTTTATGAGGCTACAATTACCCTGATTCCCAAGCCAAACAAAGATACAACAAAGAAAGAGAACTACAGACCAATCTCCCTCATGAACATTGATGCAAAAATACTCAATAAAATACTGACAAACACACTCCAAGAACACATCAAAACAATTATCTACCATGATTAAGTAGGCTTCATCCCAGGGATGCAACAGTGGTTCAACATACAAAAGTCTGTCAATGTAATACACTATATAAACAAATTGGAAGAAAAAAACCACATGATCATTTCACTAGGTGCCGAAAAGGCATTGGACAAAATCCAGCATCTCTTTATGATAAAGGTCTTGGAGAGATCAGAAATACAGGGAACATACCTAAACATAATAAAGGCAATTTACAGCAAGCCTACAGCCAGCATCAAAGTAAATGAAGAGAAACTCAAAGCAATTCCACTAAAATCAGGAACAAGGCAAGGCTGTCTGCTCTCCCCATACTTAATCAATATAGTATTTGAAGTTCTATACAGAACAATAAGACAACATAAGGAGATTAAGGGAATAAAAATTGGAAAGGAAGAAATCAAGCTTTCACTATTTGCAGATGATATTATAGTATACATAAGTGACCCCAAAAATTTGACCAAGGAACTCATTCAGTTTATAAACACCTTCAGCAAAATAGCATGATACAAGATTAACTAAAAAAAAAATCAGTAGCCCTCCTATATACAAATGACAAACTGGCTGAGAAGGAAATCAGAGATACATCACCCTTTACAATAGCCACAAATGATATAAAATATCTTGGGGTAATTCTAACTAAACAAGTAAAGGACCTGTATGACAAGAACTTTAAGTCCCTGAAGAAAGAAATTGAAGAAGATGTCAGAAAATGAAAAGATATCTCATGCTCATGGATAGGCAGGATTAACATAGTAAAAATGGCAATCTTACTAAAAGCAATCTACAAATTCAATGAAATCCCCATCAAAATACCAACACAATTCTTCACAGACCTGGAAAGAACAATACTCACTTTTATATGAGAAAACAAAAACCCCAGGATAGCCAAAAGAATTGAAGACCCTGACATTAATCCACACACCTATAAACCTATACTCCTCAAATTTTTCTACAAAATAGAAACAGAAGGAACAGTGCCCAATTTGTTTTACAAGGCTATAGCTACTTTCATACCAACACCACATAAATACCCACAAAGAAATAGCTACAGAACAGTTTCCCTTATGAATAAAATACTTACAAACTGAATTCAAGAGCACATCAAAAAGATCATCCACCATGATCAAGTAGGCTTCAGCCTAGAGATGCAGGGATGGGTGAACATATGTAAGTTGATAAATGTAACCCACCATATAAACAAACTGAAAACCAAACACCACAGGATCATCCCGTTAGATGTAGACAACACCTTTCACAGTACCCAACAGCCCTTCATGATAAAGGTTCTGGAGAGATCAGGAATTAAAAGAACATACATAACTCAATAAGGGCATTATACAGGAAAGAGATAGCCAACATCAACTTAAATGAAGAGAAACTCAAAGCTTTTCCACTAACATCAGGAATAAGACAAGGCTGTCCACTCTCTCCATCCCTATCCAATATAGTACTTGAAGTCTTGGCTACAGCAATAACACAACTGATGAAGATGAAGGAAATACATCTTGAAAAGGAAGAAGTCAAAATATCTTTATTTGAAAAAGAAGAAGTCAAAATATCTTTATTTGCAGATAATAGGATAGTCTTAAATGATCATAAAAATCCACCAGATAACTCCTACAGCTGACAAACACCTTCAGCAAAGTATCAGGATACCAAATTAACTCACATAAATCAAGAACCTTCATGTATATAAATGACAAATACACTGAGAAAGAATTCAGGGAAACAATATCCTTCACAATAATCTCAGATAATTTATTGTATCTTGGGATAACTCTTACCAAACAAGTGAAAGACTTGTTTAATAAAATCAGGTACTTTGCAAATATATTATAGCTTCCAGTTGAGTTTTTTTTATGGGATTGCTGAATGTACAAACCAATGAGATTCTGTTTCTTGTGCTTTCTCTTGGGCTCTTTTCATTTCTTGTTTGTTTATTCAATTTTAATGTATTAGTTTGTGTTTTATCTCATTATATTTCATTTTATATCATTATTATCTTATAGAAGCCTGGTTACTTTCTAATAAGAGACAGAAATGGGGCTGGATCCAGTGGGAGAGGAGATGGAAGAAGCCAGGAGGAGTTAAAGGATGGGAAACCATAATCAGGATATATTATGTGAGAAAAAAATCTATTTCAACAAAAGGAAACAAAGATATTAAAATAAGAATTATAGAAACCGAAATGTTCACACAGACTGCATACAAGAAAGCTGTGTCTCCTGTAGCTACATATTAGATGGAAAGAGTACATGCCAGCTTGGAGCATACTATGTCCTATGAGATACTGTCAAACCAAGGTACCGACAGAGGCTCAAGGGAAGCTTTAGTAGGGAAGGTGAGGGTTGGTAGAATGAAAATTAAAAGTTCACAATCATCCTTCAATGGGCTTCTTGTATAATGATTGCCTCTCTTGTTCTTAACTGTATTATAAGAGGAAGCATGTCTCTAATTGGAGAATATCCACCTATCTAATTCTAGAACCTAAGTGTGTACCAATACATGCCTACACAACTTTCAGATAATATATAGTAGGCATTCAATGTGTGAACAAATACAACATATATGTTCTCTGTGTCTAGAGTAAATGGTGTTGTGTTTATAAAGAAAGACTGTGAAAAATAGCCCCATGTGGGACCTACACTGGATTCTGTATGCACCTTAACCAATAGAAAAGCCGTGAGCCCCTTCCATGTAGATATGTCCAAACTTTGGAAAATGCAACCAGACTTGATCACCAACAAAGTTCACAGTCACCCCAAAATGGAGTCAAAAATGGAATGAACTTTCCATAATGTTCCAAGTAAATTCTCAACTTTGTGTTGGCCTGCATTTATAGATATCCTTGGCTACATGTGCCTTTGGGCTGTAAATTGGTCCAGCCATAGAGAGTTTCTACCATAAGGCAATTTGCTCACCTACAGCTGTTTATCTAAACAAACTAACCAGCAAACAAATGATCAGAGGCTGCTTATTCCGATAAATAATGTCATATCTTTCAGATGAGCATATGCATGCTCTGCAGTTAACTGTGAGCTGCTCAAAGATGTTGTGGAACAGAGAAGTTTATAAAAAAAATAATTACAAGGAGTATTAGAGCTAATACATGGAGCAAATACTCTTTTGGCCATGTTTGATTAGCCTTGGTTGTACACAACATAACCTAGTCATCTGAAAAGAAGAAACCTCAACTCCTCAACTTAAGAATTGCATAAATCAGATTGACCTTCGGGGCATTGTCTTGATTATCAACTGATACAAGAAGTCCAGCTTCCTAAGATCCTGTGTAGCTGAATAGATAGACATTCTTGGAGGTTAGTATATCAAACAAGAATGTAGAAGCCTTATTCCCCTTTCCCATTCCTCAGCCTGTGCTCTGCTTCCTCCATACCCTTTGTAGTATCCTTCATAGGAAGCTAATGGATGTAAGCTTTAGTCCCTGAAGTCCAAGAGGAGCTGCAGGAACTAACCATATGCAGTGAGGGGTTGAAGGACTTCAGTGTGTGCACGCTTTCTCAGAAGCACAGGTAAGACAGTCTGAGGCTTGGAAGTGGCATCTCATGTGAGAGGGACAAACTTGGGGCACAGCCTGACATGTGAGGTCTGACAGTGTCTCAATGTCAGAGCTGACCTGACTTAGAGGTTGCACATCTGGTTTCTGCTGCAGAACTGATCTTTTGCTTGTTTGGTTGAAGACCCAGACATTTTAGAATCATGAAAGCAATGTTATGAGAGAAATGTTCAAGAACCACCTTGAGGATATCTTTTTCTACTATGTCATCATAATAAAAACTCCATGAATCTGTACCCATTGCACCTCTCTTTCTATCCCTCCCCAGGGTGACATTATACAACACCTGAGGCCACTGAGATCTGCTTCCTGTGTTGACCATGCCGGGGTGGAGCTGCCTGGTGACAGGAGCAGGAGGGTTTCTGGGCCAGAGGATCACCCCCATGTTGGCTCAGGAGAAAGAGGTGAATGAGATCAGGGCCTTGTTCAGATCCTTCACTCCAAAACACAAGGAGGAATTATCCAGTAAGTGACCTGGAGGATGGTGAACACGAACTGGGCATGGGGAGGGCTTTCTTGTCACCAAGTAAGAAACAGGTGGATCTGTGAAGAGCCTCAGCAGGAACAATCACAGTTGAGACAGCATCAAAGGCACTGCATAGTTGGAAAAAGTGGATTCTGGATGACCCAGAACTAGAGAACATGGCCATGGGCAGGGCCTGGGCCTTCAGGCTGCTCTCCTATTTAGACATTGAGGATCAGTTTTCTCCTTGCTGGAAGCTTTTTGTCTTAAACTGTCTCCACATGGCAATATTGTGCAACACTAGCAAAAGATTGTTAAACTAGAGACCTGAGCAGTGGGAACCTGCCTCCTTTGAACATTCCCTTTCGGCTTTGTAGTTTCTTTTTATTTAAGAATAGGAGAGAGTGAAGTTCATAGCAGGAAGTGAATATAATGTAAAGGTAAATTGATGAAGTTGGTAGGGAGGGAGAGAGAGGGAGAGGGAGAGGGGGACTAGAGAGCATATACACAGGATAGAAGCAGACTGAGGGCCAGGTGGACTTCATATGTGTCATGGGGTTTCCTCAAATGTCTTTCCCATCCTCAAAGGAAGTATCTACAGATGCTGGAGAGGCACCTTGTGTTTTTCTCTATCTCTCTCCCACCCCAGGCCAAGTTCAAGCACTGGGTTGATATCATTTCCCAGCTGCTCCATTCTCACATCCTTCTGTGGATGTAGCTTGTGAAGGACCCTTGCTCCCAGTGTGAGGCCATCTTGAACAGATCTCTTCCTCCATACTCTCCAGAGTTCATTCAACCACTTTGCTTGGATCCTATCCACCCATCCCCTGGCTTTGTCAGGTAGGGTCTGTATAAAATCTCATATCAGACACCCTATAATTTGATTTTGATTGTCCTTCCTTCCCAAGATGAACCAATACCTGGAGCTGGTCTGATATGAACCTGTGGAAAAAAGAAGGTGATTGAGGCCTGTCTTAGTTACTTTTCTATTAATGGATAAAGCACTATAACCAAAACAACATGTAGAGAAAGAGATTGTTGGGGACTCATGGTTTCCAGAGAGTTGGAGCTGATGACTATCATGGAAGGGAGCAGGGCAGCCAGCAGGCAGCATGGCACTGTAGTAATAGCTGAGAGCTCATGTCTTGACCCACAAGCCAAGGCAGAGATCTATCAGGGAATGAGTAAAGTCTTTTAACCCTCAAAGACCATGCCCAGGGACACACTGCCTCCTCAAAGGCAAAACCCCCTAACCTTTCCACCAATGGCGACCAAGTATTCAAATACATGAACCTATGGGAGCCATTCTCAAGCAAACCACCACAACTCAGTGTCCACACACCTTAAGACACACTTGAGCAACAAATAAGTTTAGAAATAGTAGTTCTTGGGGTACACTTATCTGGAATCCATTGTCAAATTAAATTTTATCTATTACAGAAAGGATTAGCACACAAAGATACTGGGCCAGTATTGTTGTGTTAAATGTAATAGTGCTCAGCGTTTCGACAAGCAACAGTTGCAAGGGTCTTCTTGTTCAGTTGGGACTTCCATCTCATCCCTGCATGTTCTGAGAAGCCCCATTCCTGTCTCTCTTTCTCCAAACCCTGCCCATTCAGAGCATCTTAAAACAAACAAAAAGGGTGATTTGGATACATTTCAGTGGGCCCTGCCAAGATATACCACTAAGAGAAAAAATGTAAGCAGTCTAGCAAAGGGTCTCTCTTTCTCTTTACCTACAGTTCAGCATGTTCAAGCCAACAGAGACAGGAATCTATGTCTGATCTCCTTGCTTTAATACATCATTAAATTAGCATTGTTTTACATCTTATTTTCCTGAAACCTTATTTTCAGAATAGGACAGGAATTTTCATACAAAAATACATCTTAATCTAAAGTATCTTGGACACCTGTTGTTGCCTCCTTGGTAGGCCCACTCCATGGGGTCACCTTTAGTTAAGATGGCAATGAAGTCACATGACCTCCCTCTTCTCCAACCCTAGCAAAGATGGCTGCCAGCTGCCTGATTGCACTTAGTTAAGATGGTTGAAAACCATGTGTTCTTTCCCAGAACAGCTCCAATTTAGCTGTTTTAAAAGTAAAGTAGAATAGCATAAAACAACTTTATTATTTATAATAAAATGACATATGAATCTCTGTTATTACACTAGAAACAGTGGCCAGAAATCCCAGAGGCAAATTCTGAGCCCAGGCAGATAGTTGAAACGGTAACAGCTGAGATTGTTCCAAGACACAGGGAACATAGTAAACTCAACAGATTTTTAGCCATACCCAAATCCCTTGGCTTTTTTTTTTAATGAAGTAGAGCAATTTTAAAAGGAAAACACACACACACAAGCAAACCTAATAAGAATCAAACAAATTCCATTTGCATTATAGTTAAGAGTTAAAACAAAAATTTTAATACAATTCCATTTTATCCCTTAAGGAAAAAAAACTATTTTTTTATTTTAAGCATGTTCTAAAGAGGTGGGGGAGGGGCCACAGTTCTCTATTAAGATCAGATGAAAGAAACCTATGTTGGTTTTGCTCTTCCCTGTATTGATTATTGAACGCTATGCTTTTTGTTTTATTGGGAAAACTCCCTAATATGAACATGGAGAGTCAAAGGTTATGCAGATGCTAATATTCCTTGATATCTGTTCATTGTCTATTTGATCTCATGTGCATCTTCCCTGAAGTTTCAGGGGTCTCTTTGAGCACGAATGCTAATAGGTTACAGTTCCTGGAAGGCAAGAAGGCAGTTCAGTTCCACTAAATAGCTGGTGTTGGTTCCAGTTTTTGGATTCTGACACTGAATGGTTTAATCTTGCTGTATTTAAGCACAGCAGAATTCACAAAAACTTTCCTGGTGATAATTAACTCAATACCATGTGCACAATAAAGCATATATAAACCTTAAGAAACAAAGTATGCTAAATAAGTATCAGACATGACAAGTACACGTGATGCCTCCCATAAAGATAGGTTCTATGGATTGAGAAAAGTCTAGGGTAGAGTCCAGTGTGATTTCCAGACACACAGGTTGTGTAAATGTGACCAGGCTAGAATGCATATATGTTTCCAGGCTTCTGAAAAGACAACTGGTTATGCATCCCTTTCCTTGAAGGAACAACTCTGTGTGCTAACATTCCAGGTCCCCCCTAGTGCTCATCTATGGGCATGAGGACCTCTGTGCCTCCTACAAGAAGTCTTGTGCTTTTCTGAAATCATTTTGCAGCTTTCTCCATCCATTCACACCCTTCCAATTGTTTCCTTCATTCTGGTTCTTATTTTTCTTTCCAAATTTGGGACCATCATTATCTTTAGGGAAACAACTAAACAAACAAGACCAAACAGCCCAACCAAAACAAACAAACAAACAAACAAAAAAACAAAAAACAAAACAAAAAAACCCAAAAAAACAAGAGAAAACAAAAAAACTACTTCTGCCTTCTTCTCAACACATTTTCCTATTTTATATTTATCCTCAGAAATCCTTTGTTACATACACAAAATGCTAAAATAAACTTTAAATTTCTGCTTCATGTTTTACTACTTTAACTTCCTTACAAATAATTTATTCACCCTGTTTCCAAACAAGCAAACAAAGAAATAAATAACCTAAAGAATCTTGGTAATGATTACTATTAATGTGAAGATGCACCATGACCAAAAATAACTTGGGGAGGACAGTGTTTATTTGGCTTATGCTTCCATATCACTCTTCATCATCCAAAGGAAATCAGGACAGGGACTTAAACAAGGCAGGAAGCTGATGCAGGAGCTGATACAGGGGCCATGAAAGGAGGTGGTTTACTGATTTGCTCTCATGGCTTCTTAGCCTGCTTTCTTCAGATGGTGCCACCCACATTCATCACTAATGATGAAAATACCCAATAGGACCTAACAGGAGGTTGGTATTCATGAGTACCTGCTCATGTGAAGCTTGCATTCTACCATTTAAAGATATAAAATAAACAAATGCCCTAAATGTGAAGTATGCCGGATGCCATTGTGTTATGTAGATAGAAGAACAAAGAAGGGTGTAAAGACAACAGAGTCAACAGAATGGAAAGGAGGGCTGAGGGGTTCTGCTTAAACAGACACGCCAAGGAAGGCCTTGTCACTATGAGCTACGTTCTCATTACAAAGACTATATGTCATTCCATTTTTTTCTTCAAATGACCAATGAACGGATGAAACAGACACAGGTTATTTACAATCTGAGAGAAATCTATCAAACACCAAAGGATCTATCTGAAGGTGCTGTACAGCATCTACAATAAATCTGAGTTGCTCCATCTGTCTGTCTCCTGTATTAGACTGGACGCTATTAGAGGTCATGAGTTTCCATATAATTCTTTTATAAGGTAAATTAATACTCATATTTTACAAACAGTAAAACTGAGACTTAAGTAGCTGTTTACCATCACATGGCTAAACAGAGACTCAAGTGTTGTCCTAGAACCTGAGCACCAAGAATCCAGTTATAATGCTTTGAGTACTAATAGTTTAGAAAAAATTAAATTGGGATTCCTACTTTTATAATAACAATACTCACTGTTACTAATGGTAGAGAAGAATAAGTCTCTAGAAAATTTAGCCGTATATTTGAGGAGAATGAAAGCTACTAGGATGAAGCCCAGACTGTATATGCAAAGGAAGGTCATAGCATGTTCGGGGATGTGTACACACAATACACGAAAAACATTTGGTCGCTGGCCAAGTATTTACCAAATACATAACAATGGGAGTCAATTAATGATTTAAAGCAGATGCACAATTAATATATAGCATGTGATTTTTTAGTAAGAGGACAGACTAAAGAGGGTGAACAAAAACTAACAACTCAGTTAATGTGGTAATACTAAGACTGCCAAGAAAAGCTCCACGCAAGAGAGGGAAAGCAAAAAAAAAAAAAAAAAAAAAAAAAAAAAAAAAAAAAAAAAAAAAGCCGGGCGGTGGTGGCGCACGCCTTTAATCCCAGCACTTGGGAGGC